GGAGAAATCCAGGGCTGGGACAGGGAAAGTACATGTTAAGACTGGAACATCTTTTCATGCCAAAAAGTAAAAAAAAGTGCTTTAAAGAAAACAAAGATGTCAAAAAGGACACAAGAGGCAACTTCAAAGGGCTCTAAATGGCCTAGGATAATCTGAACTGCTAAGTAAACAAGGACTGTAATGAATTATAATCCACAGAATGAAATAAGAATCCATGAGTTCGTACTGATATATTAAAACAACAACATAAACGGGGAGAGAGAAGCTCTTCCTTACAATAGAATTCCAACTCATAAATGGAGAAGAAGTAATGGAAATAGAAAATCATTTGGTAAACACCACAGTAATATTTTTTTTCAGCCAATGTTCATCAATGGATGCTAAAATTAGAGGATAAAAAAATAGTATAATTTAAAAAGAGGATATTTACAATATCTCAAAGTACCTCCCCCAACAATGTATCCATTAGCTACAAAAAAGAAAAAAAAAAAAAAAAACGAAACCTTAGAGAAAAGAGGCAGACAGCACCTTAACCAAGTGATCAAAGTAAATATCACCATGTGCTTTCTGACATGATGCACGAAGAATGATATAACATCAGTCAGACTGTAATCTTGGACGAGATAAAGGATACTGGTGGGATAACTGGCAAATTTGCAAAGGTTTGCAGATTACACTATTGTATCATTGTTAATTTCCTGAATTTATAATTGTACTGTGGTTATGTAACACGCTAACATTTGGAGAATCTGGTTAAAGAATATACGGGAATTCCTTTTACAATTTTTACAACTGTTTTATAAGGCTAAAATTAATTTAAAAATTTGAAGCTTAAAGAAAGGTTAAAGAAGGTCGGGTGCAGTGGCTCACGCCTGTAACTGTACTTTGGGAGGCTGAGGTGGACTGCCTGAGGTCAGGAGTTCGAGACCATTCTGACCAACATGGTGAAACCCCGTCTCTACTAAAAATACAAAAAAATTAGCCAGGCATGGTGGCATGAGCCTGTAATCCCAGCTACTCAGGAGGCTGAGGTAGGGGAATTGCTTGAACCAGGGAGGTGGAGGCTGCAGCGAGCTGAGATCATGCCTCTGCACTTCAGCCTGCATGACAGAGTGAGACTCCATCTCAAAAAAAAAAAAAAAAAAAAAGTTAAAGAAAAGCCTCATGAATAAGCAGTACACAGAGAATTGTGTATATATGTAAAAACACTCAAAACGGCTATTATTATAATTTTCCAAGTTTATTAAGCCTCCTGACTTCTTAGTCACTCATTTAATAAATATTTTAGAGTGCCTACTTTATATGCCCATAAAACAGAAAAAGGGAGGAAAGAAAGAAGTAAGTAGGTAACCGAGGCAGGCAGGCAGGCAGTAATTCACTCACAGATTCCTAACACAGCTATAACTGGTCATTTCAAATACACTTTCCCTCTTTCCAACTGAGAAATTTGCAACTGAGGATTCCCTCCCTCTTTCCAACTGAATTCCAAGGCCTACTTAATTCTTGCTCTCCACTTTCCATGTTCCTGCTCCTACTGTTAACAAAATGCATATATTCTAAAAACATGCATCAAATCCCAGCTATGTGATTTTGTCCATAACTGAACATCTCTAACCCTTTCCATCTCTTTATTTAGAAAACTAGGGTGTCTTTAATCAATTTTATAGGGTTGTTTTGAAGATTAAATAGGAGTGGCAGGGCGTGGTGGCTCACACCTGTAATCCCAGCACTCTGGGAGGCTGAGGCGAGCGGATCACTTGAGATCGGGGTTCAAGACCAGCCTGGCCAACATGGTGAAACCCTGTCTCTACCAAAAATACAAAACTTAGCTGGGCATGGTGGCACACGCTTGTAGTCCCAGCTACCTGGGAGGCTAAGGCATGAGAATCGCTTGAACCCAGAAGGCGGAGGCTACGGTGAGCCAAGATTGCACCACTGCACTCCACACTGGGCAACAGAGCAAGACCCTGTCTCCAAAAATGGAGCAGGTAAAAATAACTGGCACATAGTAAATGCTCAGAACATGTTAGCTACCTTTCCTTTACAAATTACATTCTCTAACTTCCGTAGGATCCTGAAGCGTAGTTCAAATTTTCCTGATCTCTAGGTGAATCCCTGTTCTACTTCCCAAAGAGGCTACTTCAGATTTTTCACCTACATATTTCTAAAGGTAAATATAAATGATGTATTTGCTTTATCCATTCTACAGATTTAGCATTTACTGAAAATCCAACTAGCTAAAAGTATGTATAACTGCTGTTTCCCAAATATCAGGTCAATATTTCTAAGTGCTTTTCCAAATACTACCTAGATTATCTCACCATGCCAATCTCAAACTCGAGCTTCCAATACCATGCTCTATGCTGCCACCTGTTGGCTATTACCATATTCTCCAGATAGTTCCTTCTATTTTAGAATCTTAAGCCAGCCTTAAAATGCAAGCCTCAATCCAACAGATACAATAAATCTCTAAAAAAAAAAAAAAAAAATTTAATTTCCAGACTCTAGTTCTTCTCAGACAAGATGCTCCAAGTGACTGCAAAGAGTTCCAACACAAACACTTTAAGTCTAACACAACTGAAGAAATACTGTAAATCTGACAATTCACATGATATAGGGTTTCTCTTTTCCTATTTTCCATTACAGATGTATGACTGTCTCCGAAAATAAATGCCAAAGACAGGAAATAATATCTAATGGAGAAAAACAGCTTTCCCAGAACCAGCTGAGTTGTCAAATGGAAAAATTATTTCTATTTAGAAAACCAACTAAAAACTATAGAGCTACAAACAGTAAAACAGTTGTTTTAAGTGCTTCACCATTTCATGACTTTCTCTATCTGTATTTTCTTCTAAAAATATTCACACAAGCTGGGTGTGGTGGCGTGTACCTGTAGTCGCAGCTACTTGGAAGGTAGAAGAAGCAGGATCACTTAATCCAGCCTGGGCAACACAGTGAGACCCTGTCTCTTAAAAAAAAAATTCATATAATATTTTACCCTCATACAGCAAGGGAAAACTCTCAATCATATTACAAGAATATACTATATACAACTACCAAGCATAGAATGGCTCTCTTCCTTATCCTAACCTGAAAAAAAAAAATTAGTAACTGTTTCTTCTTTTTATTCTTCAAAAATTCCTATTAAATGGCTTGCTCAATAAAGAGCCACCAGACACACACACACACACACAGAGTTTAAAATTCTGAACTTCAATTTCACTGGAAGTTTAACTCAAAACAATGTTGCTTTCTTTTCTAGTCTTTTTGGAGACAGATTAAATTTTAAAACACTTTCTTCCTCAATTCAACAAAAACAGACCATTCCAAATAGTCAGAGCAACAACTTTTTCATGTAGAAAACAAGAAAAAGAAGCCATAAAAGAAGAACATTAAGAAGTACTTAAGTTGACTACACGATGGCTTTCAAATTTTAAAACAACTTGCCAACACAAATAGTGATATAATGGTTATATGCAGGGGTATAAGGAAGCATACAGTATGGTCTGCCTAGTTTTTAGCAGTTGACAATGTAGTTAGGAACAAAAGATTCAAACATGAAAAAGGATGAACAAAATAAGGCAGAATATTAACTGACAAGTAATTTGCACAGATAATATTGACAACAGTGTGAAAGGTTGAAACAGCGATAGAAGCAGAGGAAGGATGGTGCTTAAGAGTAAAAGGAAGGGAATTTCTAGTTATAGAGAAATAGCTTAGTTGAAAGAAAACTGTATAGAAGACTAGTGGGACATCATTAGAAAGAAAAGTGGATTAAAATGTGGAGGGTATTGAGGCACTGTTAGGTTAATGAATCCATAAGACAATGAGAAAGTCATCGAAGACTAAGCATAAGGTAACATTTCTATACCATTTAAGGGGTGAGGGTTGGGAGGAGTTTAACCTTGTAGGACTATTTAAGAGACTGAAGAAAACAGAGAGAACTATAGTAATGATTGTGGAAATGAAAAAAAATGAAATTCATTATGAGGGAAAAACTGAAAAAATCTGGTCAATGATTTACGTTAAGAGTGTATAGGGCAGAAGAAAGTGTTCCCAAGGCTTTAAAACAGAGAATCGATGTACCATGAAAAAAAAAGTAAAAGACAGTAAACCATTATTAATAAGTATTTCCAACAAGTGAAAAGTTTTCTAACAAAATTCTGTTTATGTATAAAACAAAGCAATAAAACAACAAATACACAAAGGTTCAGTCAGTTTATATAACTGAAAATAACAGCATTAATGTGCAGATGTTATGAAGTGTCTTAAAGCAGAACCACAGTATACAAATCTACATGAATTAGCAACTGCTTGATCCAGATCTACATTACTGTTCTTTTTGTGCTAAAAATAACTCCCATTAATGAACTGCCACACATTTCATTTTCAAATAAACACAACAGTTTGAGACCTAATTAATTATTCTGCCTACTGAACTATATAAATAAAATAATGCATGGGCCATGGGCAGTGGCTCAGGCCTGTAATCTCAGCACTTTGGGAGGCTGAGGCAGGCAGATCACTTGAGGTTAGGAGTTCAAGACCAGACTGGCCAATATGGTGTAACCCCATCTCTACTAAAAATACAAAAATTAGCCGGTGTAGTGGCAGGCACCTGTAATCCCAACTGCTTGGGAGGCTGAGGCAGGAGAATCACTTCAACCCAGGAGGCGGCGGCTGCAGTGAGCCGAGATCGTGCCATTTCACTCCAGCCTGGGCATCACAGCGAGACTCTGTCTCAAACAAACAAACAAACAAACAAACAAATCCCACAACAATAACAAATGCATTGTAGGATATAGGTTTCTTAATAGGCTACTCAACAGGATGGAAATAATTTAAATTGCAAAACCCAGGATTACTATCAAACTCTTTCGTAAGTATAAAACCATACCTTCCTTTTCCTACAAATCCTCCAATGAAGTAATACAATGTTTTAAAAAATGAAAACTTTAAAATATTACACTAAATAAAAGTTTCACAAGCTTCTTAGTTACCTTTACTTTATCTCTTCTCAAGCAACAGAATAAACAGTTTTCATCAAAAGTCCAATCAGAAATGCTTTCAGGTTCACAGTCTGCAAAAACAGTAACAAATTAATAGTCATAAAAGAGAATTTTTCAGAAAATAAATCAGAATTAATTTCAAAAATACTGTTTAACAAAAACCTAAGTAGTTAGGCCATATTTGTCTTAAAATTTTTAACTCTTAAAATTCTTAAGTCTTAACTGCTCACTAGTTAATACATTATTCATACATATATCAACAATATCAAGTGAACACAAAAAGATGCTTACATGAATATAACTTTAATCCACATGAAACCGTGAATAAAAAGGAGACTGAGGCTTAAATCACCAAGGTATCATGTATGGCACCAGGAAGAATTTGAAATACCAAAAATATTTTGAATACCTTTAAATAAACTGAGATCTTTTAATAATGCAGGTCCAAACAGCCCTTCAAGAATACTTTCAAACCCTGAAAGGATAAAAACAAAATCCATTACCACAATAATATTCATTCTAGTATTGAATAATCTTTGCATAAAAAAAAAAGATGATGTTTTCTTCCAGTTCTCAAGGATCCTGGATTACTATTAAAGGGATGCTTAGAAAAAGAGTGTCAATGACAAATCTAAAAGGGGCATTTGCATTTCTGTCAATGATTAACATTCAACACAAATTCTGAGCACATTCAAGAACAAGACCAATGAAGGAATGAAAATCCACAGGTTCTCTAATCATTTTACAAAATCCCAAACACCTCTTTGTACAGACTCTCAGGCTCCATTTTAAAAGGTACTTTTCTCAATGAATGAGTCAAAAACTGCTTCAAATTTTTCACAACTTTCTAAAATAATCTAAATAGCATTTTTCAAAATACCAATTGAGACAACAGATTTTGAGTTAACAGTTTATGAAATCTTTACTGAGAAAAACTACATCACACAAACATAAGGTACAAGACTTTTGTAAAGAAGGTACAAGACTTAAAAGACTTTTGTAACTATTTAACACTGCCACAATAACTATGTGCTGGTTCCTTTATAAATGTAAACCCCCACTGATTATACATACAAAAAAAAAAACTAAATATACTTGTACACAAATGTTTAAATTATTATGTCCTTCTACCAGTGTGAAAGAAGTAGAAAATGAAAAAAAATCAAAAACTTTTTTTCTGGCTTGTTATCTCAAATACTGATGATCTACTGAATGATAAACAATTTGAAAATATCTTCACCATCTTGCAATTTTTTTTTTTTTTTTTTTTGAGACGGAGTCTCGCTCTGTTGCCCAGGCTGGAGTACAGTGGCGTGATCTCAGCTCACTGCAAGCTCCACCTCCTGTGTTCACGCCATTCTCCTGCCTCAGCCTTTTGAGTAGTTGGGACTACAGGTGCCCGCCACCGCGCCCAGCTAATTTTTTGTATTTTTAGTAGAGACAGGGTTTCACTGTGTTAGCCAGGATGGTCTCGATCTCCTGACCTCATGATCCGCCTGCCTCGGCCTCCCAAAGTGCTGGGATTCATCTCGCAATTTTTTATGGGTCAAGAAAGTAAGGAGGAAAACAAGAGCAGGAATCAGACTGTATCTTTATACAACATATCAGAAATAACACATTAAAGCAGTGGTTCCCAAAATGTGTGCCATGGACCTCACTGGGAACTCAAATGGTTATTACAAACAAGGAGTCTTATGAATCCATATGCACTCTCAGTGTGGCCTTTGGGAAGAAATTAATGTCTTGTGCATTCAGTATACATACTACTTTTCAAATGCATAGGACTGTTACTGCAATAAAGTAAATATAAAAAGTTACTGAATTCCTAGTAGCTAGGGGCACTGTGTATTTTGCAACATAATCTGTCACCTAGGGGCTTGCAATTTTAATTGTTAAAAAGCACTCCCATGCTTAAAAGGTACCACTTAAATTAAAATACTACATCCTGCGGGATACATAAGGCCCCCTCACATGTATCAATTCTTTACCACAAATACAACCACAGAAAAGGATTTAGAAGGTAAGGAGGTAGAAATAATGGCCTCTGAAAATGGTATTTTGTGTATCTGGCTATAAGAAGATGGTAATGTAAGGGATTTCTTTGCCTTAGTATTAAGCCATAATTTTCAGTAATCTCTAGTTTGTGTTATTTACACTGTAATTAGAGAGCTGGTTTTTCTATACTATATGATACATCCTAGATTCCAGATTTTTCATTTATTGTTAGGGAGTAATTGTTTTCCAACTCTCTTTAATTCCCATCAAAATTATTCCAAGGACATTAACAAAATCAAACTACCCACTCAAACAAATGGGAGGTATCTATGTCTGTTTATTATTTACCTACTAAAATTAAAATATATTCCACTAAATTGCTATGGTCCCCTCTCTTCCACACTAGGGAGGAAAAAGGGTTGGGGTAGCGTTGTGGGAGTGGGTAGGTAGTGGTAAGAGAAGAGAAGAAACTGCTAGATACTGTCTATCTTGGCCCTAGAGATCGGATATTTTCAGAACGATCTGACTTAAAAAAATAAATAAATCCCACAGTCTATCTCCAATTCTTAAGCCCTCCTACCTGCCCTCCCAAAAGAAAATCTGATTTCACAAATAATAAAGTATTTCAACACCTTGCAAGCATCGAACACACACTGCAAATAGCTAAAGGAAATTATTAAGTAGGTCTTATCCTGAAGAGCAAATCTAATATTCTTTCACCTGGGTTTATATAAAATTGTAACAAATTCCAAATTTGCGGGCTGAGCATAAATTCTTCAAAAGGAAAAAAGTAAATATAGTAAGAAATAATGCCAGGAAAGAAAAATGCAAATAAAAGCTTTAGGAGATAAAAATGTTAAAAAAGAACAGAATCTGATGTAAGAAAATTGGGCAGAAGATCAATAATACTAACAAAAACTTGAGTCACAGATTAAAAAGCAATGACAAAGAAAGAACAAAAGCAAACAAAAAATCTGGTCATAAACACAAAGATTTAATCACAACTAATTTTGCTCAAAATAGCAACTGTAAACAAGTCACTCCTCTTTTGTTCATATCTGCAACAATACATTAAACCTAACAAATATTATTGATTAGATACTGTAAAGTCATATTTTGCTACCCTCTGTTCAATGGATGTTAATGCCACTCAGTTTTATTAATATTAAATATTGAATTTAGCAGTTGCATAGCAACAGGGAATGTCTGATGTGCTATGCTTGACATTAACAAAAGGCAAATAAGGGAAGAACAAATACATTTCAAAATGTATACCATGATATCACAGAAAAGCCAGAAAGTTCAATAACAAAATGCCATGGAAAACTAAGTACTGAAAAAGACAGCCATGCCGTTATGTTCAATCACTAGGGCTTAAAAACTACCTTTACACATCACATATAAAGAAAAAAAAATTTTTTTTATGGAAGTTGACTACTTTTGAAAGAAGTCCTATCCAACATCACAACTAGTCTCAAGGCTGATCTCGTTTCTTCTTCACTGCAACCTGCACCATGTCTTCAGGCTATTCCTAAAACCCATGTCTTCAGGCTATTCCTAAAACCCATGTCTTCAGGCTATTCCTAAAACACTGTTTCAATGATGCCACCACCTCTTCAAAGTTCACACTGGTTAAAGAACAAACCCCAACTTCCTAATTCAGCAATCAAAACTGCTTATAAGTTGACCCTACCTACTGTCAGCTGGCTTACTTACCAGAGCTTTCCTGCTCATTCCCACAGCTCTGGTCAGGATGGTCTTCTGTTGTGTTCAGTGATCATTCCTACCTCCTAATATTTTCTCAAGCCTTTGCATCTCACCTCTGCTCAAATATAGTATTTCTCTCCTTCAAGAAAATCTTCAAATTGTTCAACAAATACATACTCATTTATTCGACATATACTAACTGACAGTCTGTCATCTGCCAGGGACTCTTCAACAGGCAGTGTTGAGCTGACGTGTTACCTGCCCTCACTGATCTTTAGTTTCCAGTTCTCTCATCCACAAAATTCTCAGATTGTTGCTTGATTTTAAATAAAAGTCAGTTGCCTAATATTTTCTCTGCTTTCTGCCATTTACAAGACACTGTCTTTTCAAGTATTTTGTAAAATAAAATTTGTCACAGGCTATCTAAACCCTATGTTCTCATTTTTCTTTTATTCATTTATGTCTTATCTCCTCAAGCAGAATTAATGCTCCAGTAAGGCTAGGAAGCAATGTTTCCCTTATAGGAACAATGTTTCTCTTATAGGAAGGCTTCACATGTCTGAGTAGCTTCTGATTTAATCACACAGCTCTCGAAAACAGAAGATAAAAGACTAATATCTCCCACAAATTTCCCCCTTCAATCTAAATCACAATCCATTTCCAATGAAAAGGGGGAAAACAGGTTATAAAAAGTAAAAGAATAGGAATATATCAAATACAAAGCTAACTAAGGTCACCAATACAGCCTGTTCTTTTGGAAAAAAATTAATAGAATGAAAAAATGGTTTCTGGGTCTTGGGAACCTCTCCTGAGATAACCAGTATAGAGACTAGTAGTTTCAGAGAGGTGCTGAAGGAAATGTAGGAATATACCAGAAAATGAGCAATTTCCACATCAAGGTCCCCTGGATCTTGTACTCAAGCTTATACTGAGCTTGCTGCTCAATCTTCAATAAAGTACAGTCATGTGCCATATAACGATGTTTTAGTCAAGGATGGACTGCATATACCACGGTAGTCCCATAAGATTATAATGGAGCTGAAAAATTCCTACTGCTTGGTGATTATAGCCACTGTAATGTTGGACTGCAATTACTTTATTCCTAAATAAATTTAGTGTAGCCTAAGTATACAGTATTTATAAGTCAACAGTAGTGTACAGCAATGTTCTAGGCCTTCGTATTCACTTACCACTTACTCACTGACTCACCCAGAGCAACTTCCAGTCCTGCACTCTCCATTCATGGTAAGTGCCCTATCCAGGTGTGACAATTTTTACTGTACCTTTTCTATGTTTAGATACACAAATACTTACCACTGTGTGACAATGATATTGTGTGACAATGGTGGTATTTCCTACAGTATTCAGTACAGTAATATGCTGTACAGGTTTGTAGGCTAGCAGCAACAGGCTATACCAAACAGCACAGGTATGTAGTGGGCTGTATTACCTAGGTTTGTGAAAGTATACTTCACAATGTTTGAAAAATGATGAAACTGCCTAAGGATGTATTTCTCATAATGCATCCCCATTGTTAAGCAACACATGACTGTATTATATTTTACAAAGTATCAGTTCAAAAGTGCTTGCTGGCAATAATAATTAGTGTCCTAATAAACAAAGAGGCAAATGATATTATCTGGAGTTGTTTGCTTAAAACTCAGAATGTGTGACTTGATGCCACCACCACACTGAGCTTCATACCAAGTCAATCACAAAGTGAAAGCACTGGGTTGGTACAATAGTAATTGTGGTAATAATTTTAGAGCACTA